TTTTTATTTTTATTTAGTTGCAATTTCTTACTCAATATAACTGTTGTATAACACGTATGTTATATAAAAGTTATATTGTTGAGTAGGAAATTACGTTACATGTATGTTATATTTAACGTTGTGTTTGCTGGGATCCGTTCTGTTAAAAGAAAACAATTGCTTTTTATAATTTAAAAATTAATCTTCGGACAAAGTTTTGTATAAAAAGAAAATTCGTTTCAGAATCGAATCAGGATTACGTCGTTTCGAAGACCCAAGATTGTTTCCAATCATCTTGTACATATGTGGTATCAACGTCTAAAAAAAATTGATTGAACGTTGATTAAACGTCTATAAAACGTTGATTTCAATATCCATAAGACGTTGAAATGTAAAGGAAAATTCAACAATCGCGGACATTTTTACATTGTATGAAGGTTTGTGCAATGTTGATTCTATGTTTCTCAATGTTGCTGCAATATTGACATTGTTGCAATTCAACATTCATTCTACATTGATTCAACAATTCTGTGCTGTATGAGTACACTTGCATATTATGTACAAAGTGAGTAGAATTTCTTATAGTGACTTTAATTTTTATGGTTATACGACATTGACATAAGAAACACAATTGGCATTTGATATAAGAATCCTACGTCCATTAAAAATGAACAACGAAAGCCGATTGAAGCGTGATGACGTATACACAGTGAAAGCATACCGACGAAGTTTACAAAGTTAAGATATGTATGCATCAGAAAGTTAAAGTGTAATATATTATAAATTATATGCAATAAGTAAAATGTAAGTTTATTTTATGTATTTATTGCATGTATTTTATGTATTATTTTACATGAAATATATATTTTCTGCAGATTTATAATTTTAACATTAATAGAATATTTTATCTTTTCATAATTTATCCTAAAGTAATCCCAGACAAGCAGACTTCCAAAGGACGTTCTAAAGACATCACTATGTCTTAAAAACATGCTGAAAAAATTTTAAAGATGTCCATTGCAAATTGGTGTTGTCTTGAGTATATTGTAATATTTCTTTTACTTACAAATTCACGTTAAATCTTTTATTTTTCACGAGTTTTGTGAAGGTGTAGTCACGAGTTCATTACAAAATTTTCACTTTTTACGAGTTCACACTAGGGGAAAAGATTCATGATCTGGTTTATATCGTGCACTTGATACGCTAAGATGTACAGTACGCCCTCCGTATATGTCTGTTGTCGCTTTCGACTATTTGACAGGCGTATACGGGCCCGTCGAGGGACACCATACCTGCCTCTGATGGCTGGGAGCGGTGCACTTGGACACAGTGCATTTGGACACAGCCAATCACAGCACCGTGTGATTAGAGACATTTGTAGGGTCCCTTGGAACAGCGACTTGTGATTGGACTATGTCCAATTGCCCCGTGTCCAACTGATATACACCCCTGATGGCTCCTGCACACAGGACGAGGTAATGCTTGCCACGCGGCGGAAGTTCGCGCGACAGCCAATCAATATGCTGCTTTCAGTAATAATCTTCTAGCTCTTACAGAAAAACAACATATTGATTGGCTGTCGCGCTGACTTCCGCCACGCGGCAAACATTACCGCGTCCTGTGTGTAGGAGCCATGAGTGTATATAATTACCCGAAAATGAACTAGGAATATTGAAATACTAGATAGTACACCGATTGTGCCGATTGTACTTCCACAGCAGCGCTTGAGATCGATATTTCGGCCAAAGACATGATTTTTTAATATTTAATTAAAATTATCTGAATGATTTACAAACCTTTTTAATGATATTTTATAACGCTTCATACGAAATAGAAACGGTACCATATCGAACCTTTGTTTAATTACCTTTGTTTAATTTACCTTTAGTCATTATTTCCGGCTAAATACATGGTCCAAAAAAGAACAATTAATTACAAGTAATAGAATGACTCACAAATCTTTTTAATT